TTGTCTTCCTGATAATCCGAGTTTGCATGTTTTGAAAACAATTACCTGTTCTGCATAGTATACACACGGTTTAGAAAACTCTAATATGTTTGAATTTTATTTCAAAAAATAATTGAAAGTAGATTATTAAAATATTGACATCATAAAAGATTTCTTTTCTATCTTCACTGCTGTTTGTTACATGTGAGTGTTATATTGTCCTTGTTATCTGTAGAAAAAATACCGCGTCCAGAGAAACCGGCTTTATTTGCCGTCCGACGATTGAAATTATTTTTTAAGAAATGGGATATAAGAAAAATATTCAGCACTAATAAACGACATAGCATACTATTATGATAGTTTTAAAAGATGTTTTAGTTTGTACACTGGCTAAAATCCGCACGATGTTGTACAGAAATTGATGTAAGAATTAATGCTCGCATTTCCTCTAGCGTCTATATATATATATATATATATATATATATATATATATATATATATATATATATATATATATATATATATATATATACAGTACCCGCATCGTTATTCTTTACAAATCTATCGTGTCCTATCGTGCGTGTATCCTATCGTATCGTGCGTGTATCCTATCATATCGTGCGTGTATCATATCGTATCCTATCGTATCGTGTTTCAGTTTATCAGGTTTTCCGTTTTCTATCGTGTTTTGCGTTTATCGTGTTTTGCGTTTATCGTGTAGATCGTTTATCAGGTTCTATCGTGTATCGTGTTTTGCGTTTATCGTGCATATTCGGAAAACCTTGCGTTTTATCTTTACTATAGGAAGAAACTACCAAGGTATTCCGAGTTTCTTTTTTCGTTTTGTGAACTGAAATAAGATTATTTTAACCAAGAAAGAGAAAAGAATGTTTTATTCCTCAGTATTTCATAAATTAAAAGAAATATTAAAGCGGTGAAGATGCAGAATAAATAATAATTGAAGTAATTGATTAATTGATAATAAATAAATGAAATAATCATGGTCAAGCAATGAGTTTATCAAAATTGAAACCATTTTGTGAATGAAAAGATCGAACCCCTGACTTTTTTTTATTATAGAATTGTATGATTTTTATGGGGTCAAAATTAAATATTATTAAGATTTTCTTATATATGTCAGAGTTCCTTGAGGAAGATTTTCGGTAGGCCAAGATGTATGCGTACAAATAAATAAATAAATAAATAATAAATAAACAAATAAACAAACAAATAAATAAATAAATAAATAAATAAATATATGAATATATGAATGAACGAATAAGAAGGGACTAATATGCATCTTTTTTGAAAATGTAATATTCATTTTTCCCCAGACTTTTCGTCTGATTATCACCCCAATTTATCAAACCATGAACGTTACTATTAAATTGAATTTTTTCATCAATTAAATCTGGCATTAGATAATCTAAAAATAATTTATACAGAAAAAAATAAACCATGATGACTTTCAACTAAAAATACAATACATCTGAGTGTCAATTCGAAGAGTTCCCTTACCCGAAAACTGACACGTATATGTTCCTCTCTAATTAGTACACTGTCTTCCTGTGCGGTCAACATTCCCTCCCCCGTCTCCCCTAAATGACACCCCGGGCCGTGTGTGTTCACAGTCAACATACCTGACAGGTACTGCTTTCTCACCTGGTGTCAAATAGTAACCTTGAATACTACCTGGTTCTAATGAAACGCATCAATTTATTTTCGAGACTCTGTTCATAACTTATCTAAACAATACTAATTCAAGATTTCAATATTAGAAAATTCATATAAATCAATTTAAAGAAATAAAGCCCCTAAATTCAATCCACTGATTTATTTAAATTGTACAATGATTCCATGATGTTTAAGTAAATATCTCTTAAAAGTGCTTTCGGATCATCGGGCTTTCTTTGTAATACTGACAGAATTCTCGGAAACAATGTCATTGATCGTAGAAACGCGGCTGGAATATTTCTTACATTCGAAACTATGAAAATTATTTTGCATTATTTTTTAACGATGTTTTACTATAATTATAAAACAAAAGATGTCGTCTGATTCCGCCGTGATCATGCAATAGAAGTTATTTCACCGAATCAATTTATAGTATAATCGATTTCATACGTATAAAACTTTATTTAAAAAATCAATATTATTTTTGAGTATTTGGTTAGATCTTGTTTATCAACTTTGAATTGGTTACGGACTTTTAACATCCCGCCCTTCGAATATGCTTCATATGAGATTACCGGGTAACTCTAAAATAATTTTCAGGGTTAAATAATTTATTTGCGGACTTAAACCTATTTTTTGTTATTATTAGAAACAGTGCACGCAAAATTTAATAGCAATGATTTAAAACTATTTAGTCGGAAAAGTCGCATTTTACTCTTTTAATATTTTTTTAAAATTATTTTTTGTGATTTTATTGTAAAGAAAAAGTATTTAGTCGTTCAATGTTCGTTAATTGATACGCGATTTGAAGTATCTGATATTTAAATGTCCATATGTACATAAGCTTAGCGTAAATTAACGTACACGTACACGTGCAGTTGTGGCAGATTCATATTGACGCAGTTTACATGTATTAATGCAGAGCGCCATTAAATTAACAATTATTTAGATTTGTTTTCAGGAAATTAATTTTCTTGAACTACATGTATATAGTTCTTGATAAATCGATCATGTCAAATTTATTTATTTTGTTAATGCCGATTTCTTTGAAAAATTTTTCGGCCGGTCTTCAGCATTTATAATCTTTTTTCATAAGATGTTTATATTTAATTGAGATTTTTGGATACACCGCAAATGTAAGCTTTAGACATTAAACATATATTTCATTTATTGCTTAAATTTCTTCTAAGAAACAACTTTGGTACAAATATTTTTTTCATAAATAATAAATTTTTTTTATAAAGTTTCATAAATTTATAATAATACCCGTGAGAAACGGCACATAATTAAGTAAGTTTTTTTTTTTTGCAATAATTACATGTATGTTAAATTATCCAGAATTTAACGATTCATAGTTCAACCTTAAGATGAGAATTTTACCATTTGCACAAATAATCGTAAATTCATACTTTGGAGTAGAAATTAAAAAAATATATATATATATTTCATAATAATCCATTTAATCATTGTCAATTTTTTTTTAGATAAATAAACAACTTTTGTAAAATAACCACAGATATCCGAAGTTTTTTTTTTAATTATAATAATTAAATTAGGGAATAACTATCTCCTAATTTGGTATTTGCGACCGTTAATGCTGATTTAACGGTCGCAAACTGAGTTTTACCGGCGACGCGTAAGCGGAGCTGGTAAAACGGATGTTTGCGACCGTTGAATCAGCATTAACGGTCGCAAATACCAAATAAGAAGATCAGTTATTCCCATTCTTATGCAATCCATGCATTTTGTTTGTTATTTACGTCTTATTTTGATGAATTTTGTTACATGAAATACGTCACGGAGCATTGTGTTTTTGCGTCGCTCTATTATGACGTCACTATGAAAAAGATTTCACGCTCGTTAATGCTCGTTTTACTGCTTCAAACATCGGTGCATTAGCCAATGAAAAAGTGTTTTACAAAACAATTGCATTAGAATGTATTTTTTAATTCATATTTGATTGATTGTTATTGTTTAACCCCGGATCGGCAATATTTCAGCCATATTTCGGCGGAAATTTAGATTTAAAGCTTTGCAAGTATTTGAATTGAAATATTGCAGTAACTATACAAAATAATCTTTTCGTCTTGTCAGAAAACGTTCCGCATTTTGAAACAATCCTATCAGGTTTTGCGTTTATCCTATCGTGAAGATCGTTTATCAGGTCTATCGTGTTTTGCGTTTATCGTGTTTTGCGTGTATCGTGTTTTACGTTTATCGTGTTTTGCGTTTATCCTATCGTGCGTGTATCCTGTCCTATCGTACGTGTATCCTATCGTATCGTGCGTGTATCCTATCGTATCGTATATCCTGTAAAGAATAACGATGCGGGTACTGTATATATAGATGTGACGTCCATAGCCACGAGGAGGGTATGATCTGGGAGGCCTGTAGAGGGCGTCTTGTTAATGTAGTTCGTGGTGTCCTTGAGATAGGATGGCGAATTCTCTACATGAATCTATAATTTTTTTCTTTGATTATTCTTTATCAAGTATAGTTACGCCATTTTGAGAGAATGAAACAATGTACAGTTTACTGATTGTCGTAATTAATTAGCATAATTAATTCGTTCAATGATGTAAATCGCACTTCACCCGAGTATACCCGATAGACCGGACGTATTTCATAGCGGTCCGGATTTCTTTCTTTAATAGTGTTCTTAAAAATTTCCAATTCAACATGTAACTGAGTATATGTAAATATATAGTGTTCAGTAGTTTAGTAGTAGTGCTAGTTGCTTTTTGTTTATCTGTTTCCTTTGTTCTTATGACTTTTTTCTTTGTCCTGAGGAAGGGACAGGGCGTCCCAAAAATTTGACAATTTTTATACAATTTTTATTGTTCGTGTTGTTGGTCATTTTAAGTGCTTTATATATATAGTATGTAATGATACATTAAAGTATTTGGCTGACTTTTAAAAGTCATTTTCTTTCTTGAATGAATTTTAAAGTTTATTATAGTCATGTTAATTCGTATTTACTACTCAAAGCAAATTGTAAATATTTTTAAACATACCGTTTCTTGAAATACAGAAAAGGCAACAAAATGATTTAAATTCTGCATTCCAACAAAGTGCTGGTGACATCTTTCATAGCTTTAAACTGTGCATTGGTTTTAAGGGCACAAAAAAAAATCGAAGGGGAAACATTTTTCCTGAAATAAAAGACCGCGTAATTTTACTCTAATGTATTAATTAATTCTACTTTTGTCATTTTTTTTAATTTGGAATACAATGGAATCAATACATATAACTGGACTACTGTGCAGTAGAGAAAGAGGAGATGATGTGAGAACTAATGAAGCCATCTGAAATATGTAATCAGTGTTTTTTTTAAATTATATTTTAAGGTCGATTCTCCACTCTGACTGATGACGAGGTGTTAGTGTTATTCTGTTTTCTGTGTTCTGACTCCGGTCCTCCTTACTTCACTGACGCAGAGTGGCTGGACATGCTTAATAAGATACGACAGAAAGTGTACCGTAAAGAGAATCCGGTAACACGTGAAGAAGCACAGCAGACTCTGGAAAGACTGAAGTCATGTGATTACTTTTGGGAAGATCAGGACAGGATCACAAAGGACACTAAGGATGAGTCAATGTATAGAATAGCATCAATAAACAACTATATACCATTGTGGTACAGTAGTTATGACACAGCCAGTGTGTACCTGAGAACACAGAGATACAAAAGAAAACTCGGAGAGAAGTGTGTCATTATTGGTTTTGATGACTTACTGATTCTCCGTCTTCAGATGAACATACTGACTCACGTAACCATGGATGATACGACTATATATAAAAACATACACCAGATAAGTAAGTCAGTGTGGAAAAATGTGATTAATTCTGAATTGGGAAAATGATTAAATTCATTGTAATTATTTGTGAAGATTAAAAATTATATATTTCATGATATTCTGATTCTGATCCTTTCATAACTCGGGGCTTTTAAATGCTATAATCTGAAGATGCATAAAAAATGTTAATCTAATGGTTATTTTTATCAAATTCATTCCTTATCAGTTTTACCTGTCTATGAATTCTATATTTATTTCATTTTTTTAAGAGTAAAAACTTAGTTTAAACGATAATAATTTAATTTTGTTTATATGTTCGCATCTTATTAGTTGATTTCCAGAAAGGAAAGCGAAATAATTTGTATAATCTGGTTTGGTAAGGGGACACATCCCCTTGACGACCAGCTTAATCATCTTATCCATGCAATCCCCTCATTTCCAGTCCTCGGAATCCATGGAAAATTCAAGATTTATCTGTATCTTTAACTTCAAACACTAACTCGATCTTACCTAATGTAAAAACACATCATGGCTGCTAGATCTACGTATGTATCAGCTATTACCTCCCCTCACTTCTCGTACATCACTTCTGTTACTACGGTTGTATTATGGCGCGGTAAATTTGAACTCGTAAAAAGCAGCACAATTTAACATCCAAAATTGTTTAATTATTTTAAAATTAAATTATAAAGAAATACGCTTTTTTATAATCCACTTCTTCCTTAAATATTACAGAGTATACGATATTCATTTTTTTTCTTCTACAGTGAATGTTTCAGATAATATACTAAGGGAAAGTGAAGATGAACTGAAAGAATTTCTAATGGATCTAAGAAGAGAAGGGGAGGCTGTACATTACAGAAGAAGATCACATGACAGTGTAGATCACGTGACATGGCTCTGGAGATACGGGAGACCCGACATCGTGAGATCCTGTATAGGCCTAAATCCACACTGGGACATTTACATCATCGACAACAAAGCTTACAGAAAATCAAGTATGAAAAAAAATATGCAGAATTGTATTTAATATTATATAAGATTCCTTGCTTTAGATCTAACAGTTTTGCATGCCTTTAAAAAAAAGGTAAAGGAAGTTTCTTTCTGTATATGGTTAAAGTTCCCATGCGCCTTGAATGTAAAGGGGCCTACTGTGGTTTTTATTGCGCATCATTTTGCGCATCATAGTAAAATGAAGCGTATTTACTTTTAAAAAGCAGAATTTTTTCGCTTAATTAATAAAAATTAAGCAGTACTAAGAAATTACAGGTTTAAAATATAATTTCAATTTTATATAACTGATTTTTTAACCGGTTTTGCAATTGATAGGTAGGTTGACGTCGTTACTGTGTCTTTTTGACGTTATGATAAACTGAAACTCTTAAGAAAGCGGTAATAAAAATGTTTTTAGAGAAAAAGTAATAAACAGACACTCTTGACACATAAAACATATAAATTTGAGAGTATCTCCATTATTTTATCATATTTTTATATAAATCCTTTGTGTCCGTCATATTAAACAGTTCTCGAAAATAAACAGGGAAATTTGATAATTTTGGGCATTTTGAGATGTCTCTCAGGTTAACAAGAGGTAGATTTGTGTATTTCTTACATATAATGTACAATATAGTTTAAATCATCAAATATCATTGTTTAAACAAAAACGCTACCGTAGTATTTGTATTATTTGCTTGAAAGAGACAGGGGGTGGCAGCCATTTTCAGACTATTTCGATCTCCTTTAAAAGAAGAACCCCATATAAAGATAACCAAAAATGATCAAACTAAAATATATGAATTTTTTCTTTGTCAAAGATACTTGACAGCTTAAGATACCATATCTAAAAAATAAGGTAAATCTGGTGGCTAATTTTTTGGTTAATTTGTTGACCCCCCAGCCTCCTTAAAGTGCTTAAAAGACCTGGACGTTAGATTTTTCATTTGAATAAAATTGAATCCCATTCACCTAGGGATGCTTTGTGGCAAGTTTTGTTGAAATTGTTCCGGTGGGTCTTAAATAGCTCACTTGAGCTTACAGCAAAGGTGATCAAAAAATAATGTACATTTTTGTTCTTTGTACCTTCTCTATATAAACCTTTATGGAATCTGTCGCCATTATAACTCCAATATGGCGAATATGTACATGAGCAGAATGAACAACATTTTTCCATATAAGCTATTAACCTTATTCCCCATTTCAAAAAGGTGAGTTATTTCCTCTGAAAGGAACTCTTTTACCGTGTTTAATACGCATGCGCTATAGATAAAGTTACTTCTGTGGACGGTGATGTAAACATGTTCATGGTGTAATGCCTCTGTCATGTGGAAAAATGTTATTGTGTTTGTGAATAAAATAAATCTTAACTGATTCGTATTTTTTTAGGTACCTGAGTAAACTCAGGTGACTTATTGCTATCCATTTTCGACTGTCGTCGTACGTCGTTCGTAAACATTTGAACATTTTTAACTTCTTCTCTGGAACTACCGAACCAATTTCAACCAAATTTTGTATACAGCATCTATAGGTAAAGGGGAAGAAAAATTGTGAATTTCATGATCCCTGCCCCCCTGGGGCCTGAGGGGTAGGGCCAAAACCACTAAAATTAATGCAATCTTTAAAAATCTTCTTCTTTACTCCTGGACATCAAGCAGTCAAACTGTTGACATGATTGTAATCAGCATTGAGTCCTCTACAAAAATTTTGAAAATCATGGCCCCTGGGTCAGGGGTTCTGGTGTTAGGGCGGAGCTTTATAGATCATATAGTAAAAGTGCATTATTTCTTTAAAAATCTTCTTCTCTGCTCCTGAGTATTAAATAAACCAACTAAGAACATAGTTATGATGAGCAAGAGTGCCTTTTCAATAAATGTGAAATTCATGGCCCCTGGGTCAGGGGTTCTGGTGTTAGGGCGGGGCTATAAAGATCACATAGTAAAAGTGCATTATTTCTTTAAAAATCTTCTTCTCTGCTCCTGGGTATTAAATAAACTAACAAAGAACATAGGTATGATGACCAAGAGTGCCTCTTCAATAATTGTGAATTTCATGGCCCCAGGGTCAGGGGTTCTGGTGTTAGGGCGGGGCTCTATTGATTGAATGTTAAAAAAATCATTAATTCTTCAAAATTCTTCTTCTCTGCTCCTTGGCATTAAACAGGTTAACTAAGTACATAGTTATGATTAACAAGAGTGCATCCTCCAAATTTTTGCGTTTTATGGCCCCAGGGTCAGGGGTTCTGGTGTTAGGCCGGGGCTCTATTGATTATAATGTGAAAATGCATTAATTCAAAAATTTTCTTCTCCGCTCCTGCGTATTAAACCAATAAACTATTTACAAACTTATGATGCGGAAAGATGCCTCTTCCGAATTTGTCAATGTCATGGCCCCTGGTCAGAGAGGGGTTTTGGTCACAGGCACTTGTTTCTGTAAGAAACTTTTGATCCATACTATAATAATAACACATGTTATCATTATACTATAGGTCAAAAATTTATTACAGAAACAAGTGCCTGTGGTTTTGGTGTAAGGAGGGAATTCTTTTGATTATATAGTGAAAATGCATGAATTCTTAAAAAAATTTCTTCTTTGCTCCTGGGTTTAAAACAAACTAAGTAAGTATATAGTTATGATGAGCAAGAGTGTATTTTCCAAAATTGTGAATTTTGTGGCCCCTGGTTTGGGGGTTAATATGTAAGGGCGAGGCTTTATTGACTATATAGTGAAAATACATTGTTTCTTCAAAAATCATCTTCTCTGCTCCTTGGCATTAAACCAATGAACTATGTACATAGTTATGATGAGGAAGGATGCCTCTTCCTAAACTGTGAATTTCATGGCCCCTGGATCAGGGGTTCAGGTGTTAGGGTGGGGCTCTAATGATTATATATAGTTAAAATGCATGAATTCTTTTAAAATCTTTTCCATTGCTCCTAGGTATTATCTTAGTTTATATATGTATGATGAAGAAAGGTGCATCTAGCAATATGATTAATTTCATGTTCTCTGGGTCAGGGATATCGGGAAGGGGGTTGGTTGGTTGAAGGGGGTAAAAGTACATAGTCTGAAGATAAATAAATGCTTTGAAATCTGCTCTGTGGTATAAATCAACCATTTATGATGAAATAAAATTTATGATTAAATTTCCAAAATTTTGAAATGTGTGGCCCAGTGTCAGTGGTTCCTGAGGGGTGGGGTGCACAACTAGCTGGTTATAAGGTGAAAATGCATTTTCTCTTTCTTACTCTGATTTCACTCTGGGTATTAAGTAACTAGAGTAAGCATTCTAAGTGTATAATTATGATAAGCAATGGTGCTTCTTTCAAAATTGTGAATTTCATGACATCTGGTTTAAAACACAAACCAAATTCAATATTTGGAAAGTTGTTTCATGATACTCAGGTGACCTATAAGGCCTGTGGGCCTCTTGTTTAAATTGCTTACACACATAGTCTATTTCTGGATTTGTATAATAGTATAATAAGGCGCTGTGTGACCCCCCCCCACTCTCTTAAAAAAAAAAACGAAACAAATTACTGATAAAATGCTGATACATATTCGAATAGGTCTATTTAAAAAAAAGAAGCTAATTTTCGGTAGTGGATGTTCTGCAGACGGATCGTCATTATTTACAAAATGTACAGAACAAATATAGGAACTTCAAGTTTAGTTATACAGTTTTTACGAATTAATCTAGCCTGCTGCAGCCATTGTTTTCTTCTCTGCATTTATAGGAATTTCTTGGGCACTGATGACATGTCCATTTACAGTTTTATCTCCGAAATTGCTGCATATACAGCAGTAGTTCCTCTTCCGCGACTGATATGAAGAAACTGCGTTTTTGCTCGATTGTATGTCAAAGCATAGAACTTTTACTTGCAAGAACACATTTGGTGACCTATTTCATTTGAATTAACTGTGTTTCCAGAATTTTTTTTTATTGGTAAAATAATTGATTAACTGTATAGTATTAAAACTTTGATTGGAATTCTAAATGAATATTTTAATCTCATGTGCTCATGTAACGAAGAAAGACTAATTGGAATACCATCGATCTGAATTCGTGTTACATATGTCGTATAAAATCTGAGCTGCATTTAATCAAAGTTCTAGTGTAGGATCTAAGCATATGTACATGTATATTCCCGAGTACAATACACGTTTTGTTTTAGATCAGAGAACTGATAGCAGAAACAAAAATTTGATACAATGATTTCCTAGCGTATTTCTTGTAAATACGGAAAACATTCTCTTCCTCAAGTGTTATTTTTGTTTTTAAACTCCTTTCAGTGTAAGTATTTATTATACGCCCGGATCGATAGATCCGAGGCGTATATTGTTTTTGTCCTGTCTGTTTGTCTGTTTGTCTGCCTGCTGAAAACTTTAACCTTCGCCATAACTTTTGAACCTTGAGATATAGAGACTTCATATTTCGTATGCATACTCCGCTAATACAGTTCTTTCAAAAGACACCAAGGTCTATGGCCTTGTGACCTTGACTGTAACCTACATGCTAGAAATAGCTTTTTCAAACTTTTGCCATAACTTTTGAAGAATAGGAGATAGAGACTTCATATTCGGTATGCATACGTCACTAATACAGCTCATATAAATGACTCCAAAGTCATTGACTTTGTGACCTTGACTGTGACCTTAATGCTAAAAATATCTATTTTCGAACTTTTGCCATAAATTTTGAACCACAGGAGATATAGACTTCATATTTGTAATGCATACTCCCCTACTAAAGTTCTTTCAAATAATAACAATGAAACTGTGACCTTGACTGTGACCTATATGCTAAAATAGTTTTTTGTAACTTTTTTGCCGCCGGGCGCATAGTGTTTCACAAACACATTTTGTTTTTATTCTTTTTTGCAAAGTGTGTGAAAAACAATAAGAGAGAGAGAGAGAGAGAGAGAGAGAGAGAGAGAGAGAGAGAGAGAGAGAGACAGAGAGAGAGAGAGAGACAGAGAGAGAGAGAGTCATGAAACCCCGTGTA